ATTTCAAACTGAAAGGTACAAACAACATGCTTAAATGTATTCATAAATATCACAATGGACAGGTGACTGCGATAGAGATATTTCCCAGGTCTTCTCTGAAGGTATCTTTGCTTTTATCCCTAGAACACTGTCTGTGTGTGTAGGCAGCAGTAGGCTGATTTCATTTGGCAACATTCCCCTTGCTTCCGGTTTCCAACTTTGCTAATGAGAGCATGTCAAACAACTTCTCCTTTCTAAGTACTTCATTTATCGTTTGTCGGTAGCTGCTTTTAAGGACCTTGGCCTTCTAATTTTGCAATAACATGTTTATGGAAAAGTTTATATGTATATACTATATTTTGCTCAGTGTGTGTTATGCTTCTTTGTATCTATGTATTTATATCTTTCATCAGTGAGTCCTAGGAAATGTGTTCTATTTCATCCTCAAATATTGACTGTATACCACTCATGCCATTCTCTGTATCCTTTTCTTCTAAGATCCCGATTAGCTGTGTATCTTTAAAGATCCCATTGTATTTCCAATTCTCATTATCTGGTTTCACATTTTCTACTTCCTTGCTGTATGGTGGGCCTAGAGAGATGGCTGGGCAGTTAAGGGCACTGGCTGCTCTTTCAGAGGACCCAGCTCCGGTTCCCAGCATCCACACGGGGTCTCACAGCTGTCTGTAACTCCAGACCCAGGAAATCCAACACATTCTTCTGGCATCTAAAGTCATCAAGAAAACACATGTTGCGGGGACAAACATGTAGACAAAAACACCCATATACATGAAATAATTAAATTAATTAAATATCTAAATAAATAAATGTTTATTTTAAAATATTGTTCAAATATCTCATTGTGATAAGCTCACTGGCTCTCTATCATTACCTAATCTGTCAATTATCATATTTATTTAATTTTCAATGATTATGCTTTTTGATTAGGAATGGTATTTGTTCATTGGCTCCCCTCAGTAATTTATGGTTTCACAATGTGTGATCATTTTACATAGTAATTTTTACTTCCTTAAACATGCAACAATTACGATATCATAACTGAAAATTCTTATATCTAAAGTTCCTATGTATCTGACTCTATCATTTCTGCTTTCTACTTTTCACACATACAGAGTATCTGCTCTCTGCACAGCAAACTGTAGTGGTGAATGCATACAAAACTTGTCTTAAAAAATTGTCTTCACACACGGCTACTTTGTAAGCAGCAACAGAATTCTTTTCTGTAGACAAATTTATTTTTATTTCTGATGGAGAACGGTAGAGCAGTGAGTGTGGAAATAATTTAATCAGCAGCATCATTGAAGTGGAACTCATAAATTCAGCCCGTCCCTGCAGATGACCCCACACCTTCGTCTTGGCCAAGTCCAGCAGACATACTGGCATTTGTCCTCTGTGCCACTTCACATGCCACACTTGCCTTTCACTTCTCCCTCACTATGGCTTAGCTCATTCTTCCTGAAGTAAAGAATAAGCTTTGGAAACTCCCCTGAATTTGGGGAAGTCTGGAATGCATTAAAAGTAGGCTTTAACTAGTATGGTTGCTTATGGTTGCTTTGTAAGAAGACTTTTGCTCTATTTAGGTCTGAAACATAAATTATATAACACTGGACATTTTGATAAAAATGGTAACCAATAGAAAACCGATGCAATGTTTATTGAGTAGCAAATTAATAAAATACATGAAGCAAGAGAAACAGATTCAGGCATGGAAAATAATGACGGCCACAGGTGTGTTAAGGGACATTGTAAGTATGCAGAAACACTAAGAAGATGCTAACGGACCCATTTTCATTTACTGAATGGATAATATTTCATCTCCACTCAAAACAGCCCAGCTCTTACAGAAAGTGTGTATACATGGAATCCACATTGAGATTTCACTGAGTTCCATATCAACTCCGTTTTATATGTAGATTAATTCACACATATTGTACAATTAGAGGATTCTGCTGATTTTTGTTACGGTCTCACTCTTGTACATAAAGCACTCAAAGTCTAGAAAGTTCCATAACAATAACATCAAATGATAGTAGATTCTCTAACAGGGCTAATGTAAATAAATATAGAGTAATCTAAAAAGAATTGAGATAAAGTGAAATTATCTCTTATTCTATTTTCAAAACATGGCATATGAGGTAAATACTTTATCCTAGAGGATTGAATTTGAAGAACATGAATAGCTGTTATATTTTACATCGCTAAGGCTTTTAATGTGACCAACATTTAGTGATATTTCCCTATACTTCCTAGTCATGAATTATGACTCTGAAATCTAAATTTCAAATAATTCTATTGAGACTCTCAGATAGAAGATGGATAACCTAGAATCGAAAGGGTCCTTCCTTAGATCAACGAAATTATGTCAGGATTTAAAAGTAAGCATTATTAAAGTACTCAATGGCCTAGGGGCACATTCTATTTAATTTCTTAACTAATAAAATGCTGGGAGCTTGACTGAGATTCAAAGCCAACATAAAACTGCCTTTGGCATATACCATTAGTTCCTCAAAATGGTCTAAAACTATGTAATGAAAGATGAAAATGTAACTCACCTTGGAGCTGTCAGCATATTGAAAACTATTTGTGAAGGCAAATGCTCCTGGGAATTCCATTTGCATAAAAACATTTGCCAAGATCTATGCATGCTCATCTGTTAAACTGCACAGATACAGTACAGGGCAAGGAGAAAATAATCTCTTTTTGGTAAAGGTTACTTTAATTACTAAGAATTAAATAAATTCTGACACTATTAAGAAATCTCTTTTATTGAAACTCTTCAATTCCCCAAAGATTATTTTCTTTATCTAAAGAATATCGCCGGGCGGTGGTGGCGCACAGCTTTAATCCCAGCACTCAGGAGGCAGAGGCAGGTGGATCTCTGTGAGTTCTCTGTTAGTTCGAGGCCAGCCTGGTCTCCAAAGCAAGATCCAGGAAAGGTGCAAAACTGCACAGAGAAACCCTGTCTCGAAAAAAAAAATACAATACAAAACAACAACAACAAAAAGATTATAAATATGCTGGGTTTTTTTTTTCAAAGCTTTCAGTAATGGCTTAGACTCCTGAAGAAAATGTGTTTGCCCAAATCATCTGTTTACTAGGTATATCAGTAAGCTCTGGTGTGTGTGTGTGTGTGTGTGTGTGTGTGTGTGTGTGTGTGTACACATACACACATATATGCTCATATATACATATATTCATATTTGTGTTATTATTCCATTTTCCTTATAATTAAAGAAAGTAATGAGGATTTTTTTCAAAATAGCCACCCCCTTTAAAAACTGCTGGATTACCTAATTGATATACCACTTCACAACTATATGTGCAAAATATGCACAAACTTGCCATATTTACACATCTACACAAGTAAGAGTCAAGGAAAGCTGGTGCCTGCTAGCTCAGAAATAAATTAGCATGCAGCTAACATCGGAGGAGACAGAAATACTCATTGCAAGTGTGAACACATATTTGATTGCAGGACTATGTCTTTCCCAGGGCTGACCTTATAAATTAAACAGTGTAAATCTCAAGTAAGTGTTTTCTGAACATTTGATTCACTGTGAACATTAGGATGCCCTTCAAATTAACATCTACCATTATTAGCCTATCGTTGGACATGAACTGCTTCACTACTAATGATTTAGAAGACATAGATACCACACATACATACATAAGCCACTAACATAGAACTCTCCAAAGAGAGTGAAAGGTATTGTTTACAGTCTTGGGATATATATCAGATTTTTTTAATCTAGGGTATTAGACCTACATACAGAATAGCACTTCAAACAGTAAATGAAAGCTGCAGACAACGGCTCACCCCTCTAATCTCAACATGTGAGAAGCATTTAGGCAGGAACGTTGCCAGTACTCTAATGTCAACCTGAGCTATACAATGAGTTATACTCCAGCTTGGGCTACAGGGTGACTAGGTCAATTAAATAAGAAGAAAGTAGATAAAGCTTTTACTTTGGTGCTTAGAGGCAGAATGACAACAAAACACCCAAGGAATGCTCAGCTCTGCACACCTTGTATCTTCAAGGCTTGTGCATCATCCCAGCTTATAACCAGGTCTCAGCTTAGACATTTCTTCCTTGGGAAGGCATTTCCTGACTCGCTATTATTAAGCTCTGCTCTTACTGTGTTTATTTTGAGCATAGCCTTCTGTTCCTCTGCTTTTATGGTACTCCCGGATCCTGACGATCTGTAGGTACCTTGTCCTCCCTACCAAAGTGTCAGTTCCATAGGCCATGGACTGTGCCTAGCTTATGTACTCCTGTACAGACAATGCCTGGCAATGTGCAGTTCTGAAATTCAGAAGTGAGTGCATCTATTAAATGAATGCTTAATGTAAACTCATCTATAAGAAAGTAGGAACGGTAAACTGGGGAGATTAAGGCTTACAAGGAGAATCAAATAAGGAAAAGGAATGTGCATGTGTTGCATATGTTAATGAATTTGAAATAACCTGTTTTATCGGCCCTCAAGGAGTGAAAGCATAATCAAAATCATGTGTATTACAAAATCTCACATCAACATTATTGTTTGTATGCCAATCAAGAATATGGTTCAAGTATGAAAAGTGAGAAGAATGCCCAATCTCATTCAAAGAGAATAATGAGCAACAATCTCAAATTGATTGTTTCCAGAGAATAAAATATACTCTAATAGAACTTTTCATTTGGGAGCTGTACCTTCAATTACTATGGGAAACAAGAGTCAGACTACCTAAATTCGTAAACTCATCATTCATTTTACTGAGAATTTGGAAGTGCCCTCCGCCAGCGGTATAAAACACTTAGGAAACATGAGAACACATGACTCAACTAAAATCTGAGGTCATCACATTCATAAACATATCATAATCTGCCATTGGCCAGAAGAACTTCTTTGGGACTGTCCTGTTCGTCCAGCCCCCATCAGATGCAGCCCCGCCAATGCCTGTCCCGTTTCTCTGGGCTCTCTGGTTCTCCACCTGGTATGTGGGGACCCGGAAAACTTACCTGTAGTGTCTAGAGATCTCTTCTTCCACCTGGGTCATAAAATCGCATTTGGTGCATGAGTGTTCTTTGCTTTCCTTGACAGCCAGCGGCCCATCAGATCCTAGCAGATGGTTTGCTTCTTGTTTCACCTCCGACGCCTGGGGCTCGTGCACGGTCTCATAGTGAAAGAGGAGCACGTCTACATCGGGGGTAGAGAAGGAACACTGGTGGCACTGGTGTTTGACTCGGGAACTTCCGGCCACCCCAGGAGACAAGTGCAGCAGCAAGAGCGCACAGTGGGAACAATTACTCTTTCTACAAGCAAACGGATAAGTAATCTCTCCAAGGTGCTTTTCTGGGCTGCAGAGGCCTCGGGGGCAGAACGGACAGTGCTTAATGGTACACTTATGGATGTTATGGAGCTGTTGGTAATGACGGAGAAGTGGACCCACTACAATCACATCAGGGCCATGGCTTTTGGAATATCTAAAGTCACAGAACTGACAGTTATAGCTCGTTACCACATTATCCTCTGCCCCCTTGCTGGAGAAGTCCTTCTTTTTAGCCCCACTCAAGCCCTTTTCTGGCTTGGTCAATGGCTCTCCTTCTACGCTTTTGGCTAGATCATTCTGATTAATAACAGAGGCCCTGGGGAGCTTGTCATTCAACTCTGGATTAAGGCCGCCTGACTGCACTGCTCCGTGCTGCTTGCCATAATGTTCTAGCAGCTTGAGTGAGCTGGATGACTCGCAGCTGAAACTACAAAATTTACACCAGTAATAACTGGTGGCCTCTGTACCGTTTTGTCTCGAGGAATCGAGGGGCTTGATGGGCACTGAGTAGCCGACAGGGGTGTCATCTCCAGCCTTGACTGTTATCTTGTCCTGCCACTTTCCTAAATCTCCAGAGTCACCGGCTCGAAGCGCAGGGATGGATTTGTTGGAGTTTTTCTCCGAAGGTTTTGCACCCTCGGAGGATGGGAGAGAAACTTTTATTTTATTCGGGTGAGTCTGAAGAAAATGTTGTTCTAGTTCAGTTGATGAGTTGCCCATATAAGTGAAATTGCAGAATTTGCAGCGGAAATACTTGGTGTTGCCTTGGCAATCGGGAGTTTTCCGTCCAATGCCAATGAATGTTCCACCTGAAGTGACCTGGAGTGTAGAAGAGATGGAAGTTACTTTAGATGTGCCATAAATTCAGTCAGTTCTCTGTAAGGGAGGGGTATTGTCAAGTATTCAACATTTTTATAAAATGACAGTACTTTTCCAGCTTCCTAGGAAACAGCTTGAACTATAGGAAGGGGGTCTTCATTTCTCGACAGGGTCTCTTTGAGTGCTTCATTTTAGGACAAAGGGTGAAGTTATGTGATAAATGTGCTATCATCAATTCAAAGAACTAAATAATATATATTTTTAAGAAATCTATTTCCAACTGAGTGGGGTTGTTCTGCATGACTGTAGAAACACCCAAATAACAAGGTGTTTCCTTTTGAACAGCTAAGGGTTGCTATCAAAAACAGAGGCAGTGGCTCTGAGATCACTCATTCAAGAGATTCCCCAAAGAAATGTGAGACACAGTCCCTATAGCATTGAGGCTGCAGGCAAAGAGGAGGTCTCTGTTTTAGATAAAACACAGGACCTAAAATGGCCACATAGCAGGTCTTTTAACAGAAACTTAATCATGCGTGATGAAGCCAATATAAAATAAAGTGGGCAAGAATGCTGGCACAAATGTCTCTCAGCCAAAGATGGAGAGAAACCTGCCAGGGCTCTATTTGATTAAGGCCATATCTAGTAACTAAGAACCTCTATCTCCTCCAGTGAATGGGTCATAGGATTGTTAAAGGTTAAAATAAGACAATCCCGTATTATTTTATTATTTGATGTCTGCTAAGCTTGAGTTGCATAGTATGCCAGGCATGTTAGCATACAATAACATCCCAACGCTCAGAAGGACAATGGAGAGTTCAAGACCACCCTCGGCTTAATAGGTAGACTCTATCTCAAAAAGGGAAAAAGAAAGAGGAAAGATTACTTTTATTGGTCATATGGAGGCCTTCAAAGGCACGTTATAAGGAAGCCTTCCTCCCTCCTCAGACCACACCTGAACAAGGGACCTTAGTCAAGGCCCACACTGAGTAAAAGCTCATGGTTTGAAATTGAATTGCTGAATGAAACCTTGAAGAAAATATTTAGAAAAAAGAAAGGAAAAGAAATTAAAGAAAGAAGGAGGGAGAGACAAAAGGAAGGAAGGAAAGAAGGAAGGAGAGGAGGAAGGAAGAAAGGAAAGATGGAAGGAAGGGACACTCTTCCTTCAAAAATCAGTGATTTCTTTTTAATTTTTCCCCAGATGTAATGTATAAAGAAAGTGGCAAAATCATGTTCTGCCTTCTTCAACAGCTGCTCAAAAATGACATGTGTGATCACTGCTCATATACAAATCATTCCATGAGAAAAATCTCAGGCTTCTCAAAATCACTTGAAGGCTCTACTTAAAATGCAAATTGTATTCTGTAGTGCATTCCAGAATGTTTGCATCTCTACTGTATAGAATAAAAATGGAAGCAGCTTTCAGTTGCTTCCTAAAGAGGCAGGATCTTGATCAAGGTACTTAACCTCTCTGATCCATTGGGATAACTTCTAAATTCATGTCCAACATTACAGTTCTAGGAAATCAACACTAGCACATAAACAACTTGATATTGATTACATTAGGATAATAATTGGATTATTTCCACATTCTTAATCAAAAGATGATGAGAACACACACACACACACACAACTGATACATATATACATCATATGTATATGTATAAACCCAAACACACACAGTTTTCAATCTGTCAGGATAACAGGATCACTGAGCCAAGAGAGGTAATAATGGAGTGCCCTCTAAGGCAGAAATCTGAGAGTAAACAATTTGAAAGTTGGCTAAAGTCAAATCCTTGAGAAAACTCTCTACAACATCCTTACACTGATCAAAAGGAGCTGAAAGGGGCAGTAAACTGGTCACACTGCAAAACTTCTACACAGAGTTCCCAATTCGCTAGAATTGAAAAGAAACTTCAGTTTCTCAAAGAATCCAGCATTAAGTGATATGCTCTTTTCAATCACTTTAAGGATTTAAACTTAGATCAAAGAGGTAAATGCTGAAATATTAATGTTTTATAATAAGGATAATAGAAAGTACAAAAAGATAGAGTTGGGTTTTTTTTTCTGCTACTGCATTGCCAGGAGATGCTGAGCTCCTTAATAGAAAAGGTTTCAAACTTCTGCTTGAACAAGTGAAATTCCTGAGAAGCTACCACATATCATCACTACTTTTGATTTTGCAATCTTTAAGTCCCACGTGCACAGCAACACCAAAGGAGATCAACAATAAGCACTCATATTCCCTTTGCATATGATTGTGAAGTAAATACTATTTCTAGAAATGTCAGCGTCCCTTTTGATTTTGTGTTCTTAACCACAAGTAAAGAAAAGTTTATAAATAATTACCAGTAAAGTATCTTCATTTAAGATTAACAAACCTTGCAGACTGCATTGGGTCTTTCAAGTTGGTGTTGACAATGTGTCTAAGGAAAGTATTTCTTTGCCTATAGAAGTGAATCTGAGGTCTCCACTATTCAGTACACGTCTAATAACTGCTAAACACCTGAATTGTGCTAAGAAATATATTCCCACTACTGAGCTCTTTGACATACAATCCAAACAACAAACAAAACTCCCAAATCTTATTTCATGAAGACGAGCAATCACTTTCATATTCCATAGATTTCAAATTTGCCTTTTTGGTTAATACCAATAAATTATATTGTGTTATACAGCATTGAAAGTAAAACAGCATTGGAATCACATTAGATAAGGCTTTTGATAGAAACATAATTTCTTAGTATTCTATTCATTTTTCTCTCAAAAAGAAGGTCTAGAGACTATTTGTGTGACTCATTTTACAGCATCACATTTACACAAGTCACAGGAAACATATCTGATATCCATTATTTGGCAACCTCTGTTAAAAACAAACAAAAAATCTTTATTAAAATACACTATCCACGTCTACTACCCACACTGATTTTATTTTCACTATTTACAAGTGCTGGTTTTGATCTCCTATCTTAGTTAAATACCAATACACTGTAAGCACAGTTAAGCACTTACAGCAGCAATTCACTAAAAACATTGTCAGGGAACACTCTTATACACAGAATCACTGCAAACTTCTCAAACATCAGACTCCAACAATCATTGGAAAAAGACTTTTTTTTTCTAGCTATGATTATACTAAAAAGGAGAAGAAAAGCAGAACGTAGTTTCCTATCTTTTTTCTTGACTCACCAACATTTGAAATTATAATGTATTAACATAGAAAGCTTTTACGTAGATGTACTCAAGTTAAAAACCATACAGCTGTATGTTCATTTTGGACCTAACATGTACTCCTCCATCCCTTTAGTGTTACTATGCATTTGGCTTGTGTTGAGCCCGGGGATAGACATAAATATAAGGTGAACAAGCTAGACCTTCTCTGTCTTACAGATATTTAAGGTGAAAGATTCTGTATAAAACACTTGAACTGCAGTTACATCTGCATGCCTGTATCTGCTCCTAGAAGTTCTCCAAATTCTGTGATCCAACATACTAACCTCCTAGGACTTGTTTCCCCTCTCTATGAATATAGCTAATGTTGTGCATTTTGCCATTTAATTGGATAATTGTAAGCATCAAATGAGAACTCTAGATGAAATGGAATTTTCCAAGATAATAAAAATTTTGCATATTATTCTCTGTGCCAATGATGGGCAGGAGCCACCTATGGGTATTAAAATAAAGGTAGTGAAAGTGACTTGTTTTTAATTTACCTTAGATGTTTTCTTAATTTTCATCAATTTGATTTAATTAAATCTAAAGCGCTGCACATGGTCATGAAGCATTGTATTAGGCAGTGCACTACAGGCCATTTAACTAAAGACTAAGAATGGAAGACTATTTAACAGGGTGATCCATCCCAGGAACTTCTCCTGCCAACATGACAAATAGATCAAATGGATTGGGGCTGACGACATCAGTGGCAAATTCAACACACTTGGTTCAAACAGTACTCTTAGCATAAGTGAAAGGTTCCATTTGCTGTTGCTAAGCCAATGGTCTATTTATATTCTTTCTAGACTACAAGAAGAATGTGTTACTAATATTTGGGGTATGTAAGGACTCCCTGCATTTGGGCTGAAGGAGTGAATGTGATAGAATACAGACAGTAAGTTCTCTCCAATACCCCTGAGTCACCTGGAACGAGGAACCATAATAACTCAGGGCAACTCTACCATTGTTTTGACCTTCCAAAAAGCCAAAAAAAAAAAAAAAGTCCTTAACTGTGTCTTTTATACAAAAGCAAATGATCATACGACCTTCCAAATGCAAATTAAAGTTACACATAAAAAACAGCCTAAATTAAGACACATAAAGAGAAAAATGAACAAACAAAAACATATTTTAACTCATTTTCCCCTGATAACAGTGATGGTGTTATTCTGTTTTAATCCCAATTTTAAAACTCTGCAGTTTAAAAAAAAGTCTATTCCTTCTACATAGTATTTTCCATGGATTTTCTTTATGATTAATTATACAATGTTAAACAGAAATATTACATAAGAGAATTGAAAAACATTAAAATATTGTTTTTCATGGTCTCTATGAATTCATTTGTTTCCTCCTAATAACATGCATTAAAAATGAATAAAATATTATCTAAAGGAACATGTCAAAGGAAAACATTTTAAAGCTCCGGAATTCTTAAAATGACACTTTAGTACGTGTACTTATTTTCAAAGTAGCAGAAAAAGGAGCTGTTTGAACTACACACAAGCTCTCTCTCTGATGTGGCTCATCTTCAAGTACTATAATTGATGGCAACAGAGGAGAGGATGAGGGTGCTAATTGGAGAGACTTGGGGTTATGGGCTGATAGTCAAAATGTAAAATCTTAAAAACAAAAAGCTAAGTTACTAAGTGAAAACCACTGTTAAACTACTGGACTTTTATACTACTTGAAGAAACCTGTAAGGGTTGAGAGTCGCTATACCCAGAGTTAACCTGCTAATACCTATAAGGAATGTTTCTTCATGTATAGAGCTCCAAATATGCATTCCAGAA